GATCGAACCTGACAAAACAGCCCAAATAGTACAACTCAAACAATAAATGACTTCTTGTACTAATCCACCATTTCCCTCGCGTTCTATCTAACAGACCATAATCGTTATTTCTCTCTTTTTTAAGGTTACTAGCCTCTACTAGCTCGTTTTAATCTAAAAAGCTGTGTCTAAAAACTGATTAAAATGGCCGAATGACTGCACGATAAGTCTTTGGTTTTATTTGGCGCCACGGTGAAGTGTTTGTTAAAGCAGATCTCAGTTTTTATACATAAACAGCAGTCGGTGGACAGCTGCTCCGTTAACTTTACCCCGTTTCCCCCCGCTGACAATCCTGAGAGATTGGTCCTTACCACTGGGTTCGAGTTAGCCGAGCTCGCCATTATACGCGTAGTGTAAAGACCACACGGAGCTTGGCGAGATTTAGAGCCAAAAATGACCAAAAACGGGTTAAAACAACTGGGAGCGGAGTTTTCAAACAGCCGGCATCACTTTTGTAAATAACACACAGTTTTCTCGGTCTTATTTACAGTCCCGGGCTGCGACTCCCCAGCCGTCCTCCTTCCGTCGATGTCCCGCTTTATATACTGAGCGATGGAGCTGCGAGTGCGCGAGACATAGGGCAGGGTCACACTGCAAGTACCGCGAGACTTCCGGAGGAGAGCGGTGACTCATCAGCGCAGGGGAGGCTGGGAAATGTCGTCTAAATCCGTCGTAAATAGATGTGCACAGATATTAATGAGTTGGTTATTAGTAATGAATTGTTAAAATGAACAAGAACATATTATTCCTAGTGTTGTTATTATCATTATTAATATTTTAACGTATTATACAAAAGTAATTAAAGAATCAAAAATAATTATTATTTATACTAATATAATGTTTATTATTATTATTATTATGTATTACTATTATAGCAATATAATAATAATTGAGTTTCTATATATGTATAAATAGATAGATATAACTTATTATTTATATTATATCATTAAATATATTTTTTGTACATTATATACAATATAGAGCACAGGTGAACAAAATATTTATAGATGTATAGGAAGCTGGTTAAGTATAAGATAATTATTAGTTCATGTCTTATGGAGAAGGGCTCAGATTAAATCAGTTTGTACTTCATCTCACTCCCTTTTGAATATGTAGATTAAACTAAGTTTAAGTTAAGTGTTGAAATAAATAAAATGAATGAATGAATAACAATAGTAATGTATTACTATTATCAGGAAATGCTATTGTTACTCCAGAGGCCTGACCAGTGCAAGAAAAACTTGCTATATTTTTATAGATTGAACCTCAGTTTTATAAGTTGTTAAATTGAACTGTACAATATTTAAATAGTAATTACATGGTACAGCCCTTCCCTGTGTATCATATTCATACAGTTATCCAGTTACCCAGTCACGTGTTGTGTCATGTAAACACAGGTCAGGAGCATCAGGTGACATCAAACATCAAAATGAGAAAAATATGATCCCAGGGACTGTGACAGGGGCATGAGAGCCCAGGAGACAATTCATAAATCCAAAAAGCGAAACTGAAATACAAAAACAATCCCAAGAAAGCCATTATTTTTTTCTACAGTGAAAACATAACAGTCCTTCAGGGTGGTCCCTTCTGACTGACTTCCTGAGTGGTCACAGTCATGGTGAAGAAAACACGTGTAGCTCATATGTCATCGCGTACAAACACGTGTCATTGCAAGAGAAACAGATAAACAATTTAAAATTTTAAAGACAACCCAGCGTACCTATGGTCCTCAGGTAGGTGTCACACAAACAATGTCAAACGTCATCACACCTGGAAACCTTAGTATTAACTGGATGACTTACAAGGACAAGAGGTCATAATTAAAGTAAACTTTCTCCAACAGAGTGTGTGTTCCCAACAAGCAGTTTTCTTTACACCACATTCGGACGGAGAAATGTTAAGCAGGCATGTTTTGTGGCGAGCGAGCTAATGGCTAAGAAGTTAAAACCTAATTCAGAAGGAGAATAAGTGAAGGAGCCTTGTTGGCAGAGATGAGCTGCTTGAACCAGAAAAGCTTAAATTCTTTCCAAAGTGTCAGTTTTGTTTTAAATTACCATCGCAGAGCAGATTACTAATATGACACAAGATACTGAAAACACACTAAAAGAAAAATCACTCGAAATGTCCAGGTTTTCAATCTGGCCTGCATTGGAACAACAGACATAGCAAAATACCACCCAACTAGACTTTTTCTGTGTGTAGGACAAGGATGTGGGACATATGTATTGTATTGTGGCCCTTTTATGGCCCCTGCCACTGGTTCAATAACTTAGTATGACCCAAAAATGGAAATGCCCTTGATAGGTGTTTACTCGGGATGTTCTGTGGATGGAAACACCTTGTTGAAGATAGCGGAAAGAAGACAACTTCCAGTTTCCTTCCTGTCAGCCATGAACAGACTCACCGAATCTGGACAGCTAAAGAGTGGAAATATGTATCATGGTCTGATGAGTCTTGATTCCTGCTGAGGCTGCAGATGGTTGGGTCAGAATTTAGCGTCCAAAGCATCAATCACAGGAAAATAACTACCCAATATGTTGCTCCTAATAAAGTGCTCAGCGAGTGTAAATGTAGGCATCAATACTGATAATTCAAGTATATGATATATAATAGTGACAGTAGTCAGTAGCAGATATTTCTCTACCTTATTCAAGCTTTGAATGCAGAATTCTTTCTAGCAATGTAGTAAATCTAGGGTCTGAACAATTATTTCCCCAATGGGGCTGCACGATACACCATGGATTTGAACAATGCTTCGAGCAACTTGTTTTACATCTGTTTTACATTGATTGGCCCTATCAGCACAGTGGCACAGTGGCACAGTGGTTCACAGTGTCAGCTCTTGATTTCAAATCCCAGTTCGGCCCGGGTCTTTCTGTGTGGACTTTGCATCTATCCCCATGTCTGAGTGGGATTGCTCCAGCTACTCCAGCTTCCTGCTACAGTTCAAAGGCACACAGATTGAAGTAAGCTCGATCAAACATTAAATTAAAAAGTCAATTCATTTATAAAGCATTTTTAAAAGCAAGGTATTGACGACAGGGCTGTAAATGAGGGGGGGAGGATAAATACAAATATTACATTATTACACATAACACATAACACACAACCAAGACAACAACACAAAGAACAATAGAGTAAAATAAGAAAAACTCACAAATAAAACTCTCAACCTGATTTATATTCCAGAGAATACTAATGGGGTAACACGAAAGTTTTAAATCAAGTTCTAACTTGACTTTTCCACAGTTAAGAGGCAAACTACAGCACAGGCCTAATCTCCTTCATGCTTCAATCTGGACCTTTGGACCTCTGTGATTGTATGAGTGGAAAGGTAAAGGATCAGAGTGTGTGAGCGTTGTTTGTCATGTCAGCTGGGCTCCTGCGGCCCTCTCAGGATAAGTATTGATTGGATCAATGGCCTGATGGGAGTTTTCGCTATAAAAAAAGTTTCATTTCAACCAGATGAGTTGTCTGATTTTGATGAAACTTGGAGCTACAAACAGGATCCAAAGGTGGAGCGATTGATTTTTATGACAATAATTTTATTCTTATTAATATGAAATTTCACCAATATAACAGGTACCTTTGATTTTTAATGCACGTTTAATGTAGCACCATCATGCTGCCACTAGAGTGTGATCACACTACATTCCAGGCATGAGCTCACACCTCACACACACACACACACACACACACACACACACACACACACACACACACACACACCACACATGCACATGCACACACCACTCACTTTGTGCAGTGTGCAACTATTCCACATGTAATTCAATAGGGGTGGATTGGAGTGAATCTTTGGACAAGCTGTATCTATAGGTCTTGTCTGCCTCATCAGAAACACACCAGCCCCGACTACCAGGGGAAACGTTTCCAAAAAAACAATAAAGCTTTGCAACAAATGAGAACTGACAAGAGGATGTTACCTCCACTTCTGTCTCCATGGAAACTTGCCTCGCTGGTCATTCTGTGGATATGGATGATATAGACCGGGGAACACACAGCGCTGTGTGCATCAATCCACTTAGCACATTGGTGCGGCTCCTTTACAGTGGAATGTCACAACCATTGGTTTCAATAGATTTTTTTCACTGGGCTGAAGTTAGAGGCCTGTACCTGAGACTGATGGGAATATGCTTTTCTTTTTTCCCCTTAATCGATTTGTGTGAAAAAGTGGAGAAGATGATTGTGTCTATCAAACTATGAGATGAAACGTGCAGCAGTGTTATCCCCAGCATGTTGCCTTTTACCTTTGAGACTGTCTCTGTGTTACTGAGTAGTGTGATGCCCTCTAAAGATCTAGAGAAGGCACACTTTTTTCTCACCCCCCTTCTTTCTTTGCTGTAGTTGCATAGCAACAGAGGAGCTGCCACGGCTCCAGTTGTGTTGGTGGTGGGAGCGCGCTGCACAGGGAGGCACTGGCTCGAGATTAAGCCTGTCTCAGCTTCAATTATGAATGGGCTTCCACTGCCACACGGCTCCAAAATGGCACAGCTCGGATTGATAAGACATTGAGGAACTCTTTGGTGCACTTAACTCTTCTACTTCTTTCCCTGAAGGGGAGAAGGAGGGGTGCAGAGTTTGACTTTAATCAGAAGTATTGAACTTAAATGATTAGAGGAAGTAAATGAATAATTAACTGGCGGAAGAGGCATGGTTATGATAAGACCCATGTTGATGGGAATGTGTGAGGTTAATTATTGGGGTCAGTCTCGAGAGCAAATCACAGTCTCCAGTCTCACAACGCTGGCAGTTAGTGTGTTAGTGCTGCACAATGAAGTGCTCAAAGGCAGAGGGGGCTTTGCAGTATTTAATGTATAATACAATAATATGCTGCATTTGTGAGGTCATATCAAATACTTGTTTTGATTTAAAATGTTTGCCTCTGATCTTTCTTTGATCTTCAGAACAGAACAGCCAAACTAATCTTCTGCAACTTGTATTTTTTTATTATTGCAACCAACTGGAAGACAATACATCACATAAACATCATTGTAGTTTTTCAGAAAATGGAAAACAAAATAAAACAACATTTATATATTTTTTGCCACGGTATTGGACAACGTTGATATTTACATGTAGTGATGAAATAGGTCTTGAAATCATTCTTTGGCAATATGATTGCACAATAAGGAGAGAATTGAACATTTACTGATAAAATAAAATAAACAAAATTAAAAAAAACACCTGGGCGTACTCTGCATCACATCTCACAGATCAATAACAGTTTTGCATTTTGACATCCCTAACCTATGGCTTTCCAATATTCAGCTCAGACAGTCACAGAAAATAATGGCAGTATTGTAGATCATTTTGTCAGAGAGGAAACACAACAGAACATGAGAATGTGCATAAAACATTAACAAATAATAAATGGCAGCTCCGTGTTTGAGAGTGTCTCACTATATGTTTGGCAGGTTTGAAAGAAACACTTGTTTCCGGGGCTTTTCAGGCAGTGAAGTGTATTTCCTTTTGCTTTAAAATGTCTCAGGTTTATTTCATGCCTTGTTTTTCCGGGACGTGCAGGTCAGGGGTTCATCTTTCCTGCATGTCACAGAGTGAGTCAGAGGGGCAAAAAAATGTTGTTGCTAAAGCAACACATTCTCCCCTCGACATGCCTCTTGCCAACTGAACACGTTATTAGTCACCACAATAGTGGATTATTACTGCAAATATAGCAGAGTGCTTGACCTGGGTCGCGGGAGCACTCAGACAGATATGAGACGAGAGACGGATGGCACACAACAAGAACACTGACAGTGTCTCCTTTTAGCCTATTTTTTTATATGCCGGCATGGACACCATACAAAATACAAAGCCAGTGATGCATGCTACAGGTGGCGGAGGACTGTACCAGTGGATGGGACATGCATTTCTTTGCCTGCTCGGCTCACTGACGATCTCTGAGCGTCTGTTCAGCTTAAACGAAACCTTGTGTGACTCTGCTGCTACACTCCAAACTCAGACAAAGCTGCTTTTTTTTATATGCATCTCTGCAAGTGAGGGAAGATTAATACTTTAATGCTTTGCAGATTTAGGGAGAGAGCATCCAACAATGGCAGCGACACTTCTGATGCAACAGATGTCAAAGCTCACTACTGCACAGGTTGTAGAGTGGAAAAATGTTAAAAAGAAAAACTCAAATCTCCAGACTGGGCTCTGGAGGTAAATATGCAATGGACTGTTTGCAAGCTTCACATCCACAAGTAATACCTTTAATCAAAGGGTCAAAAATACTGTAGGTAAATGATAAAACAACCTTAACTGTGTCTGCCCTCTCCTACATTCCTCTTCCTTTTCTTCTCTACTCTCAGGTAGCCTTTATGGAGACATGGTTCTTTCTGGAAACCTACAAAGTTTCCTTTGCCCATCTGGTCCAAACATTTACACTGAACAAAGCTGATGGGAAAGAAGGACACGTGTACATTTACACACAGGGGAAAATAAACCCAACAATAATGTTATAAATAAAGACAAGTAACGTTCTGTCAAAACATGTCCGAGATATGACAACCGCGGGACTGAGGGCAGGCAGGCAGGCAGGCACAATGTTAAAGGGTGTGTGTTCCTGGGCACACAAACTCACACACTCTACAGACGTGTTCTGAAATAACACTGGGGTTAACAATGAACACCTACAAAAAAAAAGTCACTGTACAGGCAGAAGAAGATGGAAGCCCACCCATAAGAGGTGATACAGCTGGCCTACAGAGCCTGAACCCAAGGCCCAGAGGTGGCACCCATGGGCCTCTAATTGCAAGGTGATCTCCCACATCCCTCCCTGAAGATGTGTCTTTGAAAGCCTGCTCAGAAAAAACAAAAAGAACCCAAACAATTAAAAAGAAAAAAACAAAACAAACAAAAAAAACTCCAATATAACCACGGGTATAAGAATTGGCGGCAAAACTTTTTTTCTTTCCTCTAGGATCAAGGTTTATATGAAAATAAGTCATGCTTCATGCTAAATACATCGTTTATCTTACATGTTCTTTGAATAAAAAAGATTTGCTTTTTATCTTATTTACAAGCACCCATGCAATATAACTGAGAAAGTCCTGCAGGTCAAATTGCTTCAATTAAGAAAGGAAAAAAATAAAATATTTTCTAACCTTTTTACAGAGTTGTCCGCGCGGGACAAATTGCTTATATCTTTATGAGGGTAGAGTGAGGGTAAACAGACACAAACAGAAATCTATAACCCACAGTTCATGTATATAGTTCTTTGACATTGTCAAATGAAGAGGAAGGTGTGGCAGCTACTGGTAGCTATGATATCTATACCAGGTGTCTACGTCTATGGACAGAAGTACTGGGGAGGTTTCAGGGACGTTTACATTATGCAACAACAACAACAAAATGAAGGAGATATTGCCTCAGACCCGGCACACTATCCATCTCTATGGTGATAAACATGACCATTTTTTTATTTTAATATATCTATTCTTAAATACTATGAGTGCTCTTGAAATAAACCATGTCTTAACCCATGATGCTTTTATTATAAGTGGCGTAAAATAATCTTAAGTGCATGAATATATATCACATTGGGTTTTACAATTATTTTGACACTTAAGGTCATTCTCTTTAGCTCTTATTTACTACTATGCCTTCTTCTTTTTTTTTTGTCAGCTGTCGTAGCGGCTACATGAAGCAACCTGGTCGCTTATCTTTGGCACAGTCTCACATTTGTGCTCGTGGATGTAGGAGAGTGATGCCGGCGGGCCGCCCAGAGAGAGCGAGGGCTCCGCATCTCCTTAAACAGGCTCGTCTCGTGGGCCCTGCCGTCCTCGCCGGCATCACTGCAAGATTGCTACAGATTCACATAGAAACAAACAGGTAAGACAAACAGCCATCTTCCGCTCGCGTGCTTGTACGCTCCCTCAATGTGATTCAGTTGAGTCGGGTTCGACTTTTCCAAATTAGTGACAACACATGCTTTTTTTATGGCTTTCATCCCCTTTTTAAACAACAAAACAACAAAGACACATGAGAAATACCCATCGATGTTAGTGTTGCTGAACATGTAGGAAAACATAGATTTTTGATATTGCCACAAATAAGTAGGATTCACCTAATGCCCTGCAGATAGATAGAGGGAGATGAGAAGTGTCCATTGAGACTAATGCTGTAGTAACTTTACCTGTTGACCTATTGTTGTATGTGTGTGTGTGTGTGTGTTAATGTGTGTGTGCGTGCTCTGAGCTGTATAGCGTCTGTGTGTTTGCATGACTATGTATTTGTTCTATGTGTGTGTCTTAGTTTCTCAGGGCCTCTTTCTGCTCCTTCTGGCCCTTAGCGGTGCGATTTGTGATGTTGTTGAGGCAGGCTCTGACCCCCGCCAGGTGAAGCAGCGACCCTGCCGCCTCCTTCATCTCCTCGTCGTCGCTCTCCGGTGGCTTCTCCACCGCCGCCGCGCGCCGTTTTTTCAGCGGCAGTGTGTCGCTAATGCCCCGCGCTCGGTTTTTGGTCCAGGGCAAACTGCTCCCTGCCAGAGTCCCAGCTCCCGACCCCGAGCTACGTCTCTGTCCGCGCAGGGGCTGCTGGGAAATGTAGGCAGCGGCGGCAGTGGTGACGTGAGAATCCAGTGGGATCTCCCGGGGCTCGGTTTTGACGTCCGATTGGATCTCCACGGCGATGATGTCGTCGTCGTCCAGAGGGCAGCAAGGGTCCGCGACCTGGGAGGAGCACAGCCTGCTGGGGGATTTTGCGGTGCTGTAAGTGTGGTCATCCTGGAGGTCCTCACTGCAGGGCGGAGGAGAGTAGCAGGATGGGCTGTCCTGTCCTCGGCTTAGATAATCTCCAAGGGATGATCTGTATGAAGCAAGGAGACAGAGCGGGAGAGAATATTGTTACTCCTGCTGTCACACTGTAGGCAGGTGGCCTGCCTGCCTGTATACTCCTCACACCAATGACGCTGCCCCACTTTGCTCTGCAAAGCAAGAAAAAAAATCTGCTGATAATCCATCACCCTCAAATAGCACCCTTGGGCCTAATGTGCTGTGCATATTTCTCAGGTCAGATTAAAACCTTGTATCTCCACAAAGAGTCAGCCTTCCCTTTAGAAACGAGCAGACTCATTTTCAGGTTGCCACCTTTGCATTTTTCAAACCATACAGAGCATTTTGAACAGCTCTCCTGCTCCCTGAGGTTGTGGAATTTGCTCAGCAAATAAAGGACCTTGCAAGCTCTAAAGTCAGATCACCGCAGAGTGACGATCCTGCAGCAAAGCCATTGGACCACTGTCCACCTCATACATTATGTTGCAACACATATTTTGCTCTGTGATTCAGGAGACACCCTCTCTGTACGGCATTAAAGGACAGGGGTGTATTCAGACAACCAATAAATCAAAAGCAGCTTCAGCAGCGTGCCCTGTCCCCTGGACATTTTCTCCCTACAGAATGAGAGGGTTAGCATATTAATATCTTATAAGAAAAACATGCACCCCTTACAGTGATCAAATATTCACTGCATACCTTTAGTGAGCCTTTGGGTATGTTTAATTCATTAATTCTGTGGTGCAGACCATCATACTCTTATGCTCCTATGATGGATGTGCATGTCCATGCATGTTCCCGAATGTCTTTTGAATCGCAAGGCCTCTCCCACTGATAAACCTGTGTGTGTGTGTGTGTCTGAGACCGTTATATAAACACACCTGGACGAAATGTTCTGCCCAGCGGGGAGTAAGTGAGCGTCTCTGACGTTTGAGCACAATAAAGTTGTAATTATGTAAACTATCAGTGGAAAATTTCAGCACGAGGTCTGGTTTTTGTAGGTGTGGTGGTGTTGTATTTGTTTGGAGGCTACTGTATTTGTGCATGTGTGTGAGGGCGTGTCTGTGTGTGTCTGCAAGGGAATGTGTTTGAGCAGGGAAAGACCTGACTGACATTAATTACATGGTTGAAGGTAACAGCAGCAATGTTTACCCACCTTATGGCCGAGGTTCTGCTCCCCACAGGGCTTAAAGGTAGGGGTCTGATCACAGGGAAGAGGGCCTGGCTCCTGACGCGGGCGCCATTTTGGATCACACCACGAGGAACTATAAGTGAGAGCAGAAGATAAAGTTACTTATGAGAAATATTAAAACAGATTGATCCAAAGTTTATCGTAAGGACTGAGGGAAAAGTACAGAGGGAGCACCTCCTAAATCTTTTTGGACCTGAATGGGACTCGGCAGCAGCTCGGTGAGCATTCACTGACCGTCTGAGGAGGCCAACAGGGCAATATTGATGAGCAAGGCAAGGTTAAATTGAGCAACAAAGCGTCATAAATGAGTTAAGGCCACTGCGAGTCATTCAATTACCAACGACCGCTGGGCTCGGCTAAATCCAACGTCTCTGATGCTGTGGACTGAGCAGCAGGCAGCTGGAGCTCAGAGGTGGACACCACACAGACTATTAGATTCACCATCAGTGACACATTTGTCGTGTTAAATACAAATTAAAGGTACTTTTAAGGCAATCCAGATACATAAATTCAAATTCACAGAGAAAATAAGGCTTTGGAAAGGTTTTTATATTTATAAACTTAAAAGGCAGTGCAGTCCATTTGCTGGATGTCGGATGGTGACACTTCGGCCATAAAGTGACAGAAAACATTCAGAATTTCCCATCACAATTTACAAACGCTCTTATAAATTGGTCCTCTTGTTTTTTTTCTTCAACAAAGAGTCTCCAAAAGTATTTGGTTTAATAGAGAACTAAGAAATCTATAATATTCACATCATAGGAATATAAATATTTCCATCGCTGGAACTGTAGAACTTGTGGCATTTTGCTCAATGTTTTAATCAATTATGAAATTTGCTTCTGACAATTAATTATATTTGTTCAATTCTGCCTAGATGCATAATTTCCCTTTTAGTGCCCCTTTGAGTTCAAGCTGAACTATAGATAGTTATCTGCCTCCATCCCCAGTTTGTTGTGAAGAAAAAAGTTCAACAGAACCTCAGTCGAGGTCTGTGCTGAGATGTAGATGCAGACATGGGTTTGCGAAAACTAGTTAGATTCAAAGTTTCCAAGAGCACAGAGTCAAAAATTAAGTGGAAGAAGTTTTTGGAAGTACCCGAGGCTTTGGTCAACAGAAACCAGACAGGAAAGACCTAGTTCAGGGAGGAGGACATGGCCATTCAATAAAAAAAAAAAAGAAAAAAGTTAAAAACCTGCCAGAAGGACAGCCGTCTCTACAGCACTCCATCTAAGTGCCATTTTACTCCTCTGAATAAACAAGCATATGGCCAGCCCACCTGGAGTTTACCAAATAGTGCTTTCTCCGACCTAACGAGACAAAAATTGAATTCTCAGCCCTGAAAGCCATGCGGGCGAATCAACTTGCAAGAACCAGGTGCTGCTTATTACCAGGCTATCACCTGGAGTCACCGTACTGCAGCACGATGTTGGCACCGTCATACAAACAGAGCCAAAAAGAAGAGTCCTCGAAGAAAACACTACAGAATGGAGGCAAAAATCTACCTCCTGTCAACACAACGGGCTGTACCACACTACCAGGATAACAGACTGGCTTTGCAACAAATCCTTGAACGTCCTCGAGTGTACCACCCAAAGCTGGCACTGGAGGACATTTCAGAATCTGCGGGGAGAGCCAAAGATCACAGGTTACAAACGCCCCTGATCCCCGCTGGACGCTAGGCTTAAAGCTGCTGTCAGTGCAGGTTCTATAAACTGTACTGGTATTCAGGTTTTGAATATTAATACATTTGCAATACATCTTGAGAAATACAATAATGATAAGAATGATAGCCCTCCTTTTACATGTATACCAAATATGAAGCTGGAGTTTTAGAGACGCTGCAACAGAGAAGTTTCTAAACGCTGCTGATGTAAATGTTTCCCTCGTTTTCAGCAAGAAAGGGATGGAGCTGACGCCTAAGTGCCTAAAGCTGCAGTTCACTAAATGGCCACTTGAAGCTGAGTCCAAATCCCTAACCCCAAAACGAGTCAATCTCCATAGGTGCATATGTTAAAATGTCCAACTTTACAGCAGAATCAAACTTTTACAGCACGGTCCTAAAAGCAGGTCTCAGTGACTAACTTCCCACCTCATACAGCACTCTTTCTGTCAGGCATCACTCACACACTAGGTGGTAATTTGAGGTTTAGTATCTTGTCCAAGGACACTTCAGATTGCAGACTGGAGGTGCTACTGTTCGAACCACTGACCTTCAGGTCCATTGACGACCCTCTCAAACTCCTTAGCCACAGCCACCCAGACTTTTACAGAACAGATGTCTACTTCTCAACAAGAAAGGGGACAAGCACATTTCCCAAAAACATTTTTTTTTCTGAACAGGTTGAGAAGAAAAAATACTTAAAAATGAAAACAAACATCCAAAACCTCTAAAAAAATCTGTCTTATGCAGCCTCAGACTCAGCAAGGTCAAACTCCTGCCTCTGAGAGAAGAAGAGAAGAGAATAGAGGAGAAGAAAAGAGAAGGAAAAGAGAAGAAGAGTCTGTGTGTACTGTGTGTCAGCCAACACAGCTCTCATTACTCAGGGCTGGCTGCTCACCACAGCCATCCCAGCTCACTAAAACAGCTGTCATTTTCATCTCCAGGGTCAGTTTGCATTTCACAAATGATGACCTGCTGTTTGCTTTGTCTGCTGCAGGAGCGTTTGTTAGTTAAGGTGCAAACGCTAAAAATCTTTGCCGCAGCATCAATATAATGTAGACCAAGCCCCCCCCCCCCATTGTCATAAATCTATGACCGATGCTTTGAGGAGAAATTCAATTCTCCCTAAGAACCATAGGCTCATTAAAACATACATGTTGTCATGACGAGATGCTCCAGAAAACAATCCCACATGTATGTTTGGTTCTCGCAGTAGCACACAGAAATGACTTATGATAGGTCGTGTTCATCGTTCGTCATTGTTGGTGTGTTTCTCTTTTTTTCCCGCGGCCAGCAGTGTAATCTTATTGACTCCAGTTAGTGTGGCTCTGCCCCTGATATCTCCAGCTCTGCTCTCCATAACCTTATAAGTAAGTCGCCGCACAGACTCTCTTTTGTAATCTTGATCACTCGTTGCGTAGTTGTGTGCGCGTGTCTGTCTGTGTGTGTGTGTGTGTGTCTGTGTGGGCAGTGCATTAGGTCTCCCCGGGTTGACACGCACCCACCCCTCCTTCCCCACCTCTCGCTCCAGTCAGGCTTCGGGTTGCCATAGCAACGGCTCCCCTTCCACATGCCACAGAGTGGTAGATCATGCATCAGCAGAGAAAGTGATAGAGAGAAGGAGAGAGAGAAAGAAGGGGGGAAAGGAAATACCAAGCTCTGTTTGACATGGCCTCTCATAGCTCAACCACACACTCCTGACCACCAGTGTTTACCCTAGATACACACATACACACACCTCCCAAGCACGAGCGCAGACGACTCTCTTCTCACGCATTAGTGTGTGTGTTCTGTATCTTCACCTCCTCGCTTTGCCGTTTGAAATCCTCAGCAAACGCCTCTCTTTGTCTTTCTAATTCCGTCCCCTCCTGTTGATTTCTTTCCCTCTCTATCAATCTCACTGTCATTCTATGTATAGTGGTGACTCATATCTCCAGCTGAGCATGCACGCTGTCTCTGCAGGTAAAAAGCAGCGACATATGCTGGAGAGACGAAGTGACGAACTAAGCTGGGAAAGAGCAGGCAGCGCTCCCAGAGCCTGTCCTGACGAAACTGTGATACGGATTGAGAGAAACATTTTACAAGCTCAAAGCTAAATATAAAAAAACCACAAACACACTTGGCTTGTTGGCAGACAGAAGGTTGTGCTGAGGAAGACAAATGTAAAAACAAAAAAGAAGTGTCTTTCTGCACCTCTGCCTTTTTTCCTGGAGAGAAAATATCCTCTAGTTTGTCTTTTTTCCTACGTCTGGTCAGCTGCTCTGCCTTTTCTGTCTGCTTCCTACTTCTTCGCCTGCCTGCCTGTTTTCCAGGGCGAGTGCAGCCCTCAGCCTCCCTCCCTTCTCCCGCTCTCGTTGCGCTGTAGACGCACTCAGCCTCCTCTGTCTCATCCCGTTAAATGAGTTCCACATGGCCCCTGCAGGCTGCGCTCTCCGCAGCAGAGCAGACAGACACCGAGTGCACACAAAGACGCACATGCTCGCTGAACTCGCACGAGGAGTCCTAGGGTTCAAAGGTCACTTCCAGCAAACCCTGAGAATGCAACTGTTTGAAAATGGCCTCTTGCTCTGACAAAACACCCCCCCCCCTCTCCTCCTCCTGTCTATCGGGCTGCTTGTGCTGCCGTGTTTTAAAGTGAGCACAGTCTGAGGGCAGGACGCATGCTAATGTTGTCTGACTGGCTGACTGACTGGATTGCTGGTGGGCTGAAGTTGCTGGCAGTTGAACTGGACGTCTAACTGGCTTGTCGATCTGACACTCTAGCCTGAGTGTTTAAGTGGTTGGCTGGCTGACATGTGCTCTGACTTCCAGGAGGGAGAACACAAAATAAAAGCAACACCGAAAGACTGTAACAAAATAAGACTTCTAAACATTGCTATATGGATCCTATCAGACTAAATGCCCACCAGCAGCTATTGAGCTCAACAGCGTAGTTCTGGAAGTAAAAATCCTATTTCATTTTCTGACGAGAGATTTTGATTATCAGCCATAATGATGTAACCATTCAATGTAGACTTCCCACAAATGATTGTGAAACAATGTTAAATGCTTCTATAGAAGCCACAAGCCTGTATAATCATGATATGTTTTGAGAAAAAAGTGTTTAATGCACGATATCAAGGAGAAGTACTACACTACCCACAATCCCCTAATAGTGACATCTCCGACTGGTGGAGCTCGTTACCACAAAAATGTCAACCACAACTTTAAAAATAATGACAGCTACTATCAGCTACAATCCGATCGTTCAGTGTAACAACACACACTGAACACACTTCAGAGACTTTATTTTCATCAAGTTTAAATTCAAGAAGCTGTGGAAAAGTGATCATTTGCAATGGTTTATGGGATGCATAGTCTCTTCACTCTTGAAATAATAACGTACACTCTTAATTTACCTTCTGGTTCCAGTTTGAAACTCTTTGTAGAATGATTTTCTGAAACATCGATGGAGAAAATGAATGAGAAATGTTTTTCATAAAGTGGATGGTCGCTGTTATGCTCTATTCTCCTTGGTGGTTGGATATAAATTACATTCTGAAATTTCTCTTCTCTTATGGAGTTTGCATACATTTTGCCACATTTTCTATGACTTTACTGATCCATATTAACACCTAGATTTCTTATGGTTGAGGGACCCGAGACCATCCATTATTTTAGTGACAGCACCAAGAGCGGCAGATATTAGGAGATCTCTGTCTTTTTCAGCATTTAGCTGAAAGAAATTAGCTACCATTCAGTCTTTATTGCAGTTAATTAAAACTGACAATTTGGCTGTGTTTTGAGGTTTGAATGAGACATATAATTGAATATCATCCACCGAACAGTGATAGCAGATACCTTTAAAGTGCCCTATTAACTGTGCACACAAGCATGTACAAGTCCAACAGAATAGGACCAAGGACTGAACCTTGGGGCGTCACAATGAAGCGTTTTAGACGAGGAAACTGCCGACAGAAACAATGAGGCTCCATTCAGAGAGGGTTTTCCTAAATGTCTGGTTACAAAGGGTAGCTTGGAGATAGTAATTTTTGGAGCAGAGCTGGACCAAGGTTGAACTTTTTGAGAAGTGGTTTAAAATAAGCTTGCTTTATTTGAGCAGTGACACAATCATAACAGAGTGGTTGATTAAGGAGAGCATAGCAGTACAATAATGAATTTAAAAAATGAAATGAAATTGGCTTGAATACACTTTCTCAGCTGCTGACTTAATAAATTTGTACAACTGGCTCTAAATTAATCCAACTAAAATTAGGTTCATCTTTATATGATGGCAGGTATGAACTTAAATAAAACAGGAACACTTTGGCTGAAGAGATCCTCCATAATTTAGAGCCGCTGAATGATGAACTTTGGGGGTTGTGGGTGTGCGGTGATGGGTTGGGATGAGGAAATGGCTAACAGCCATTGGCCTTGCGTTCGTCCTGAGCTGGTACCGGGCCACAGGGAGAGGCAGATTTCAGCCCACATCAACTCAGAGCGGGCAGCTCTGAAAGCTCAGGGAATGGGAGATGGAAGTAATAACAGAGGGCACCAACAGCCCCAAACTCACTCAATCTGGAGTCTCCCCCTCACCCTTCTATGTCTTCTCTTTGCCTCTGGCTGTCTGCCACAACTTTCTTTCTCCCCACTGCCGACGAATATATCGCGCACAGCCATTCTCTCCCTTCAAACACATTACACATTTAAAAAGTTCCTCTTTTCCCATCTCGGCCTGTCACATGTGCACTCCAAGCTGGCCTTCCAGACTGCCTCCCTCTCTGTCCATCTATCTGTCCACCCTCTCAGAAGCATCACTCTCAGACTGTGTGCGTCTAGAGGGAGACCAGGTTTTCAGACACTCTCTCCAACCTCGGCTCCTTGACCATTACTACTCCATTATCAGTGGCAATGGAGGGCGCGCCGCAGACGCCTAATGTATCCATTTCCCCCTCCATTTAGGACTCGGCAGCCCAGCGAGCTCCCGGAGTGCTCCCTGATTGGGATTGAATGTCCATTTAAACTGCCGTCCAGCCACCAGGGAGGAGGTCGGGGGGAGAAGAAGAGGAGGACTGGAGGAGAGGAACAATGGGAAATACAGGGAGAAGGTGTATAAGAGTAAAAGGGAGAAACTGTATGTTGTGTAATGGGGATCGAGGCAAGGGGATTGCTCCTCAAGAGTCTGCGTTGAAGCTGGGATTTTTCTCCCCCTCTTTATTCCTCTCTCACTTGCTTTGTCTCCATCACTCCTTTTTTTTTTCTTTAAACTTCCAAATACGCCTCCATAGAAAAAGCATCCCTCCTCTGGCGCAGAGCCAAGTGTCAGAACTCAGTGCTTGGTATTCTTAAGGTGCGCTTCTAAAAAGAGGGATTTGGAATTGAGATGATTGGAGTTGGCACATCCATAGAGGGAGGGAGGGAGGAAGTGGTGGGATGGGGGGACAGTGAGCAAGAGGGGGAGAGACATAGAGAAAACAGGTGGGAGATCACACGCACACACACACACACGCACACACACAATCACACAGTTAAAGATGTTCAGAGGTGAGACTGTACCTTGTAGGAGAACTCCTCCGTTCTTTCTGAAGAGGGGACTCCCCGACCACAATGGAGGACTAGAAGGGGGAAGAAGGGATGGAGGAGAGGGGGGTGAGAAAGAGAGACAGAAAACTGGTCAATCATTTGATCATGTTGCAGCAGCCGTCCGGCCCAGCGGGCTTCATCACGAGGCAGATAGCAAAGGCAGGAATTTGAGCCCATAAGCCAGTGCTTCTGATTATAGTGATTAGATTCCCGGGTGTCCCACTGTTGCCATTATTCCCTGTGATTACCTCAGAGAATTACAGCCTCGCTGCTGTAGTCCATGGGGGTAATTTCTCATGACAACCTCCCACTGTCCGCCACTGTTCCATTCATACACATTCATAAAAAAAAATCATCAGCGCTCGTACATTTAACACACGCTCATCTCACCCGGGCAGGTTTAAGACAGACGTGCACACTCACACTCATGCTGCACACACACACGCATGCACGCGCCCAGAGCCAGGGACTCAGTTTACGCGATCATTGCACCACTAATGAGGGAGGTAATGACGGCATTTCTCACATAGACAGACACTTTCACTCACACATACACACACACACACACATACACACAAAAGAAGACAAGAGACGCACTTTTGCTGGTGAAGCCATAATTTTAAGACAAAGGGAGAGGGATGGAGGGATGAGGATGGGGATGGAGAGAGAGACAGAGAGAGAGCGAGAGAGGATGTAAGAGCTTTCCCAGGTTGAGTGGTCTTTAGCTCCCCATTAGACATCACGTCTGACTGCTCCTTTCTTTTTCTCCCTGTGTTAAGACAGGCTGTTCTCAAACACAGGGAGCATGTTAGCTGACAACGGGCATCTTGGTCATATGTAAAAATACTCAAACACAAACAGGAGAGAAAACACCTGGCTACGCTGTGTGAACTCTGAAAGAGCGACCCATTCGTTTCCAGCGGTCTCCACTCATCAGGAGAGTTTCCTTTGTAATGTGAGTCGTGTTTTATGTTCTGCTAATCTGCTGAATGAGAGGATTTGGACGTGTGCACTTGTGATGTGGCTCTCACCTCACCAGATGCAGAAAGAAGATGGACACACACACACACACACACACACACACACACACACACACACACACACACACACACACACACACACACACACACACACACACACACA